GGAGCTTCTCTACCTCGGCAACAGCCTATGAGACAGGCACCTTATCCTCATTTCACAGGCCTGGGACAGAGGCTTGCAGAGATCAAGTAGTTTGCCTGAGGCCACCAGCTAGCAAGAGGCAAGCCCAGAATTCAGTGCCAGGAGGGGTGACTCCTGCTGCTGTCCCAGGACAAGAGGCCCGTGCCCCACTTCTCAGTCCTGGTCCTCCAGGCCAAGGAGGCGTTGTGGGACATTTCCCTTCACTTTACAGACCAGAAAACTAGGATTTGCAGGATAGTGGTGAGGTTTACACTGCATAGTGTGTCAAAAGTGCCTGGCACAACGAAGTGATGCAATCACATCGGCCCTGTTCCACTCGGTCGGTCCCAGTGCATCTCCTTCAGCATGTCTCTTGGGCTCAAAGTAATGCGCGTGACCGAGATGTGTGGCCTCATGGCTCTGTGGATAAAGGGGAGGCTGGACTTAGCTTTGCTCTCCCCTCCCCATCCCACCTCTCTCGCACCCCAGCCAGCACACTATGCCTCTCTCCAAGGTCCTGAAGGCACAGCTATTCCTTTGGAAAGTGGGGAGCAGGCCTCCTCCCAAATCCTGCTCCTTTCCCCCTGCATGTCATGCTTACAGCTGAGAAGTCCCTTGGTAACGATTCAAGGTGGCCATAGAATTTCTAAAGCCAAAGTTCATAGAAATCCTTCAAGCCTTTCTGCATGTCGCTCGCTCTTCCTCCTAACTCTGCAGAGTCCTGAGTTGAGTGACCTGGGTTGGCCGTGTAGGGACTTGGAGGTGGCATGGGCTAGTGGGTGGGGCTGGGCCCCACATGCCAGGTGCCTTTCCAGTGGGACCTGTGGCCCTTATTTCTTTCACCAATCTTCTACTAACTTTGAACATTCTACTGGCTAAGTTCTGTGGTTAGAAAACAGACCGTCCTCTTTTTCTTTTTCTCTCACCGTTTATTCTTTTCTTCTTCAAACACTTACTAAGAACCTCCCAGGGCCTGGCCCTAGGTTAGATGTGAGGGATACCAGGGTGGAGGCTGCATGGTCCCTGCTGTTGAGGAGTTTACAGTCTAGAGAAGGAGAATAACACAGCTACAAGAAACAATGACACAAGGCAGTCAAGGGGAAATGAAGCATTGTGGAAGAGGCTCTGGGAGCCCCAAGGAGGAGGTGATTAATCGCCTGTGGGAACCCAGGAAGATTTTACTGGAGGTGACTCTTGAAGGATGAGGAGGAGCTATTGAGGTGGCAATATGGTGATGAGAAAAGGCATTCCAGCAGTGAGAACAGTACGTGCAAAGGCACTGAGGCATAAAAGTGTATCCCTTTCATGGGGAGTCCTTTGACCAGGCTTGGTTTTTTAAAGATCTCACCTTGGCTGTAATATCAAGGAGAGGTTGGAGGGGGCTCGGCTGGGACAGAGAGACTAGGAAGGAGGCGGTTGATGAAATCTCCAGATGGACAAATTGAGGGAGTGGTCTGGAGAGGTGGGACATGAGGAACAGACATTAGAGGTGAGACGGCCAGGAATTCATACTTAATTGTAGTTGAAGGTTGGGGGAGACAGAGAGGCAATCCAGGAGGGGAGATACCAGGATTCTCTCCTGGAAATGGGAGCCATAGGGAAGAGCCTGCAGTGCATGCCAGAGTGAGAAGCTTTGCCCATTGCAGAGGCTTGGGGGTTAAAGGTGAGGGTGGAGGAAGCACCGTGCTTCATGGGGAGGATGGAAACCAGGAGGAGCCTCCCACATCCTCCCATCCCAGTCAGACTGGGTGTACAGGAGAGAAGGAAGAAATACAGAAGGAAGGAGGAGTGGTAGGTTCCTGGGCACGGCGTGAACATGTCACTAACATCCTAACTGGAACGTTCCCGCAGGTGAAAGGGAGGCTTTCAGTAATTTCACTGGGGTCTACCAAGTTGACTTTTCTCCTAGAGCAGATCCTCCTCCTCTGTGGGGGTGGATGTGCTGAGGTTCTTTTTCCTTGTCAGACTCAGTGGAGGGAAGGGACTCGCCTGGTAACACAAACGTTATAACGTTGCAATGCTTGTGGGCACTTCCTATTGCCAGGCACCAGGCTGAGCCCCTCTACTTGTGTTGTATCATTTGATCCCCACAACATCCCAGTGTCGTGGGTACTATTTTTATCCTAATTTCACAGGGAAGGAAATTGAAGCATAGAAAACGTAAGTCCCTTGTCCAGGGTCGCACAGCTAGTCAGTGGTGGTGCTGGGACAGGTGCCCCGGTGGCCTGGCTGCAGAACCTGTGCTCCTATCCCACCGCCCTTCTGGGAGGCTGGAAACCACACCTGCTCCTGCTTGTGTCCCCTCCATGTCCAGCTGGGCTTGGGAGTCTCAGCAGGGGCTGTAGCCTGAGCCCCACCTGTGCCCCCTCCTCAAGCCAGACCCACTTTCTTTTTCCTCTAACTGGTTGACATTGGTCCATTGTCGCTAAGAACCCTGAGGCCCAGAGGCATGAACACTTACAACTTTGCGCCCAGACCCACCTACAGACCCGTCAGGGTGTGAGCCCACCTGAACTTGCCTTCATCCAGTCCCCAGGAGTGCTCTCCTCCTCTGTCCACGGTCCTCTCTGGGCTCAAGTCCAGACCTCGGCCTCTCTCTGCTGCCCTGGGACATCGTGGCTCCAATCAGTCCTCGTCTCATCACCCTCCCCCTCTTGGTAGGGCTTTTCCTCTCCCATCTTGAAGAAATCCCCAGCTCGTCTCAGCCACAGCAGCTACTCTGCCATCACGCGCCCCCCATCCACAGCTAAACTGCTGAGAGCCGTCTCCACTTGCCGTGTAGACTGCCTCGTCTCCCACCCCTGTGCATACCCCTCCATTCCGGTGTCGACACCCGCTACTCCTCTGAACCTCTCCTGCCAAGGACGTGTACGTCCTCGTATCATCAGATAGTTTAGTTTTAGTCCTTACATTGCTCCACCTGTGTGCACGACACGGCACCACCAGCTAATCCCTCCTTGACACTTTCCGTCTTGGGCTTCCCGGATGCCACCCTCTCCTCCCCCCTCTGTCAGCTCCAGCCACACTGGCCTTCGTCCAGTCCCGCCTGCTTCCTCGGTCAGCAACTGTTTATTGAAGCACTACGTATCAGCCACGCGGGGCCTTTGCACATGGCATCCCTCTGCCTGGAACACTCTTCTTCCTTTCGAAAAAAAATCTGTCTAATCCTTTCTCGTCCTTCACATCTCAACTCAAATGCCCTTCGTCCAGGACGTCTTCCCCGACTCTTCCATTTTATAGCTCTCATAGTACCACGCACCTCTCCTCTGTCACACTGCCCAGTTACAATTTCACCTTTGTTTGTGTGATCACGAAGGGGGCCGCGAGCACAGGAACTGGGGCTCTCGCACCCGGGGCCCAGCACAGAGCCTGGTGTGAACGCCTGTGGTGTGAAGTGGTGGTGTGAGGAATAGAAAGAACAGAGATGGGAGCTCGGGGATCTCTGGAGGCTGTTGCCACCACTCGGGTAAAAAGTGGCACTTGGAACTAGGGCAGGTGCAAGGACGTTAGAGAGGGGAGGAGCACTGGAATGGCCTAGGCAAGGAAAATCGGTGGCAGGTGGGATGGCAGGGGAGCTGTCACCAAGAGGAAGGAGTCCAGGCTGTTGCTAGTACCTGGGGCTTGGGCAAGTGAAGGAGACACATGGGCAAGGAGCAGAGGGAGTTTGATGTCACACTGTCCTGGAAGGAACTTGGAATGGAAGCGAGGAGTTGGGGTGGGGGTTGTTAGAATCTGAGAGGCAAAAGGACAGGGCCCTGGGAATGGGGGGGGGGGCGTCTGCATGAGAGAACAGAGAGGAAAGTTCTCTGAACCCCAGCGGCTGCTTCATCAGGGAAGTGGGGCAGCACTGCCAACCTCCTAGGATGGTTGAGAGGCTAAATGAAATAATTTAGGTACAGTCCTTAGCAAGCTGCCTGGCACAAAGTAAGGGCTCAATAAGTCGTTTTCGTCATCATTGTCATCGTCATCATACTGAACTATATTTCCATGCTGAACTCAGGAGCCTCAAATAATCAGAAAATAAAATCAGCGAATGACTGCCCTGAGGTCCTGAAGACGGCCACACCATTAGTGCACCCCTGCTGTGCCCCTTCCTAGGCAGGCTGGGGCGGGTCCAAGAAGTCTGAGGAGATAAAAGGCAGTTCAAGAGCTGGAGGATCGGGAGGTCTCGGGGCCACCCCTGGCCAGTAAGTGGGCTCTGACCATCACAGGCAGGGGCACGGGGCCACCCTTGGAGATGCTGGGGACGCACCTGCCTAGGCACCCTCCCAGGATCCTGTCTGTCTTTAAACTCTCCATCCCCACCCTCATCCACCTGATCACCTGCGTTCAAGAAGGGTGGAGCCCACTGGGAAGCAGCAATACGTAAATCAGGCCCTGCGAAGCCACGGACTCTGCCCGGCCCCAGCCTCCCCAGGCAAGCCCAAGACGCCTCACCTTCCCTGTGCGATCTGGAAAGGGAGCTTGGTTGAGCAAGGATGTGGGTCTCGGGTGGGAAACAGGGCAGTGAAGACAGTGCCCTTTTTCTCCTTCATGGCAAGAGGGGCGCTCGAAGAGAAGGAGACAGGCATGTCAGACTGTAGAGAAAGCCCCAGGGCATCCCCGTGTGGCTGCAGAACTGAGCCTGGGGCTGGGGTCCTCAGGGGCCTGGCCTGTCTGCTCCTGCCAGCTGGCCTGGACCTGGTCCATCCTCTCAGGCCTCCACCTGCCACCTGCCACGCCACCCTGCCCTGTCGCCGTCCTGAGGAAGTGTCCTGCAGTGCTTGGTTCTGCTCCCAGCTGTCTCTGGCGGTGAGGGGCAGGCTTGGTTACAGGTCCCCACAAGAGGCCTTCTTCCTCTCCCCAAGGGGGGCTGCTGCAGTGTGGGCTGCAGTGGGCACAGGGTGTGTTGGGGGGCCCAGGCTAGAGCTGCCCCAGGGCTGCCGAGGCCCGCGTAGCTGACCGGCAGCCTTCCTGAGGTCTCTGCCATCCTCTCTCCACAGTCTCGAAGCAGCGTGCAGCAGGGGGACCTCGATGGGGCCCGGAGGCTGGGCCGCCTGGCCCGGCTGCTCAGCATCACCTTCATCATCATGGGGATTGTCATCATCATCGTGGCTGTGACCGTCAACTTCGCAGGTGAGGCCCAGCCCCTTGGCCCAGAGGGAGCCAGCTTGCTTGGCCCTGGGGGCAGGGTAGGGGGTGGGGAAAGGGTAAGAGCCCATGGGGGCCACAGCCTTATCCTCTCACTCCAGGAAAGTGACCCAGTCCCCGGCAGTGACTGGCTGAGTGGGGCTGTTTTGCTCACTTGTCTTATGCCTGAGAGTGAATCAACAGAAAAGGGTGTGGGAAGAGCACAGGCCCAGCAGCCGGCTCTGCTGGCCCCGGGAGCTGGGCCAGCGTCCTGCCTGGCTGAGCCTCACTGTTTCCAGGTACAAAGTGGCAGGAAGGAGCCTCCAGCACAGAGGCTTTTGCGAGCATCACCCCAGATAACGGATGCGACTGTGCTCTGTCAACTGTGGGCTCGGTACATGAACATCCCTGGGGGGACATCAGGATATACTGGATGCAAATTGCATATGGTGCAATTCAGGAAGTAACACTTCTGTGGGCACCAAAGGTGGCCCAGTGAAGTTACCCAAGCAGGAGAACTATTTTGAAAGGCGACTCTTGGCTGCTTATGAGGCCCATGCAGCTTTGTGAGTTTCGGGGCTATCCAGGTCAGAACTTTCCATCTTCTTCCCTCTACCCACTCATGCTGGGAATTCCCTAAGCGTGTCTGCCCATGCCAGGGATCAACCTAAGCTTTTCCCCTAAGCACATTGCAACTCAATATGTGCCCCACGGACCTGCAGCAGGGGTCACCTGGGAACGTGTCAGGAATGCAGAATCAGGCCCCATCCCACATTTTAGTAAGATTCCCAGCCCAGCCATTAAGGTTTGGGTGTCGCTGGTCTAGAGTGTGGAGTGCTCGACTTGGGGCAGAAAGCCTGGAATGCAGCTGTGGACGGTGAGCAACCTCGGCCGCTTAGGACCGGGAGGAGACTGGGTGTGTAACCAGCCTGCCTGGGTTCCGAGTCTGGGTCCTGCACTTTCTAGCTGTGTGAACTGAAGCATGTTCCATGAGCTCTCTGAGCCTCGGTTTCCTCCACCAGTGCGGAGTCTGAATGACACGCAGGTATGTGCGAGGCAGGAGCCCGCCGGCCCAGGGCATTAGCTTCAGTGTCACCTTACGATGGCTCAGTCTCCTTTGCCCTGCTGCTGCTTGTCATTTAGCCAGGACTCTTTCCGTGGCAAGTGGCAACTACCAAATTCAAACTGGCAAAGGGAATTTGTTAGCTTTCACTAAAAAATTCAAGCACAGGTTGTTCTATCTTTAGGCATGGCTGTATCCAGGTGCTCAAATGATGCTGGTGAGAATCTGTCTCACTCTCTTGTCCTGCTTTCCACTGTGTTGGCCACATTCCCAGGCGGGATCTCTCCTTATGCTGGCAACATGGCAACCAGCAGCTCTAATAGTGGCTCTAAGAGTGGCACACATTTTAATCAGTGCGGTAACTAAACAGGGAAACAAAGTGCCTCTTTGTCAACAGTTACAGCAAAAGTCCCAGGACTGATTCCGATTGGCCCATTAGGGTCACACGCCCACCTCTGAACCAGTCACCGAGGCTGCAGTCCTCTCATTGGCAGGAGTTCAGTTCCACCAAGAGCCCAAACCAAAGAGGTCCCTCACGCTGTACCTTATCCCTGTTACCATTTGCCACTAGGAAACAAAAATCCAAATCCTCAAGTCAGGGACTTGAAGAGCCAATGTTTTGAGCTCTGTTCTGCCATGACTGTTCTTCTCTTTACAGTTCAGAAGAAATAACACTAACCGGGGAGCTGTGCTAACAGAGGTGGGCCCGGCCAGCCGGAAGGCTCTGAACACACACACCCACACACCACGGAGGACAGGGTGGGGGCTGACAAGTGTCCACCTGTCCCCAAGCTCCAAAAGCACAGACTTGGAGGGAAACCCCCAAGTCACCTCATTGTCAGCCCACATCAGATGGGAAAATCTGGAGGAAGGAAGGAAGGGAGGGAGGGAGGGAGGAAAGGAGGGAGGAAAATTTACTGTGAAACCAAGAATAATGTGGTTTAATTTCATGGACATGTCCTGGCATTTTGACCCCAGTGCTCTGGCTTGTTTCACACCCCCACGATCTCCTGGGCTCTACCAAGCAGCGCAAACTGCCCGAATGAGAAGAAAACCAGCCCCACGAACAAGACAAACTTTGCTGGGGAAAGAAGCAGCACAGTCTCTTGGTGTCTGTGGACCAGGAGCAAAGACGTGGGACTTTACCTTTTGTATTTTTCTGGAGGCGGAAGGAAACAGACTGTTCGCGTGCTTTGTGCCACATGCCTGCTGCGATCCCAGCCGGTGCCCCGGGCTCAGGCCCTGGATCCCCTCAGGCACAGGCCCTGGATCCCCTCAGGCACGTGGGGTGTGCAGCTGCCCCGGAAAGAGGTAACTGCCACACTTAGATCCTCCTTGGCAAGGTGGAGGCACCGAGAGGAAGGTTGGTGAAGACAGGTATAGGGATAGCATGACCCATGGGCCTCTTTCCAAACTTTTCAGCTCAGGGGCATCTCTGCTGAGGACTCTGGTCCCCCAGCCTATCTTCCAGGACAACCCAGTCTGCCTCTTGCTTCCTACCTGTGCTGCAGCCTGGGGCACTAACCAAGAACTCCCAGACCTGCCCTGCCCAAGGTCAGCCAGTGGGGAGGGGCTAAGGTCTGAGCTCCTGTCCTGCCATGGTCGCCTCTGTGGTCTGGGGTACAAACCTGGGGCCCCATGCAGAGTGGCTCAGGTGGGACATGGCTTCAGGCTCCCAACCCAGCCCCATCTGATGCTCTGTGCTCGGCCCTATGTCCCTGGCCGTCCACAAACAGCAAAGGCTTTCTCTGGAGGCGACTTTGGGACCATCCCTGGGGAGACTTCCCATGGACTCCCACACTGTTAGGGGTGCTACCTGCACGGGAGTGTGCCAGAGAGTTTTTATGAAGATTTATTGTTTTTGGGTCTAGGCAGTCCCAAGACAGAGGGAAGGGCTTAGCTGAAGGGTCCAGTCTGCAGGCGAGTGGGGAGCCCCGGGTGTGGGGACACACTCACATGGCCAGAGGCAGGGGCTGGATGCTGTGGCCTCTATGTCTTAGGACCTAATGGGAAAGGAGCCAGGCAGGGCCCTCGGCCTCCTCCCTGGTTTTGAGCCCCCTGATTCTGCCCAGACTTCTCCCTGGCACCCGCTGTACCCACAGGGGCCTCGCCTACTCCTGCCTGCCGTGCTGGCTTCAGCTCCCAGACCCTGGGGAGGGATGCTCCCGGCTTTCCTGCCCTGTGAGGCCCCACCAGGGTCACTCCCCTCGCTGCAAGGGCAGGTTCCCAGCCACAGCCAGACTGGCCTGAGGCTGGCAAAGCCTTTGTCCTCTGTGCCCCACAAGGACCCTGGTGCTTCCGCTCCAGGGCCTTGCCCGCCAACCGCACCCTCCTCAGAGGCTGCAGGGAGGAAGAGTGGGTCGGTACAGAGGTTCTACCTGTCGGGAGGGGCTTTGGGTCCTGCGTGCAGCTGCGGTCTGAGCCTTCTGGACAGGGCCTGTGTGACCACTGGGAGGGCAGGGGTGCACGGCCCACGGGTGCTGGGTGGATCCTTTGGCACTGATGTTCCTATGTCTGTCCCCACCTGGGAAATGAGCTCCAGCCTCTCCCAGTCCTAAAGCAGAGACTGGTTGGGTTTACTTTATGGGATCTTTGAGGCCAAAATAGAGATGCCCTGTTTGTTGCAGGGAGGGGTCTGTGAGCCCAGGTACTTGTGTCACTGGTGAAGTCAGGCCAGGGAGAAGAGAAAAGCAAACTGGATGGTTGAGCAACAGTCACGTGGGGAAAATGGTGCAGAGGAGGGACTGTGTACCCGCAGAGCGCAGCACACCCAGACCTTCTCTGCCCTCGGCAGCCACAGCCACACAAACAGGCTCCGCTACGCACTCCTTCTGCACTCGCACGCCACGCACACACACACATTCATTCACACTCAAAACCAGGACAGCTGAGGGCCCTGCTTAGGTGAAGCCTGCAGATGCCAGGAATGGGCACAGCTGGGACACTCAGGCAAGGATGGCTTGAGAGCTTTCTAGTGGTGCCAGGGACAAAACTCAGAGGCCCCAGAGCACAGGGCAGGAGGAGGGCTCAGCGCCCTGGAGGAGAAGCCATCCTGGATGCCCGGAGACTGTCAGGGAGGGTCCCCACAGCCCCTGCCCCAGGCAGCCTGGCATCCGCAGGCCAAATGGAGGCTGGAGGGGACAGTGGCACTGCTGTCCCAGCTCCAGCTTGGATCCAGCCACCAGTTGTGTGAAGACAGTGGTCCCTGTATCCCATAGGGAGCAGCAAGAACTGTCCCCCCACCCCCACCACAGCACCAGTGTCGCCTCTGTATTTCTTAGCATGGAAAGAAATAAAGCTGAACCTACGTGCTCACCTCTGTCCTGCGTGTTGTGCTGCTGGGGCAAAGGGGATTCCTGACAACTAAAGGGGAAGCAATCGCTTAGCCTGGGACCCAGGGTCGGGGCTGGGGGCCAGGCACCGGGAAACCTGGGCACCCTGGGACTCCATGGCCAACACAAGGTGTTCCTCTGGGCATGTCACTGGGCCTCTCTGGGCCTCAGTTTCTCCAACCTTAAGACAAGCGGGTAATGCCAGTTCCATCTTCCCTACTTGTTCTTTCCTTGTTCTTTCTGTGTAGATCTCAGGCCTGGAAGGAGGGGGGCAGGGAACGAGCCCTTGCTGACTCCTGGCATGTGCTGGGCACTTTACACCCACTGATAAAGCCACATGGTAGTCCTATGGGGTCACTAGTATTCTTATCCCTGGGTTCAGATTGGTAAACTGAGGCTCAGAGAGGCTCAGGGACTTGTCCAAGGTGACATCACACAGAAGGTACTCAATAAATGTTGAGGATCTGACCCAACCCCTAGGCCTATTAGACTGCAAAGTCAGCTTCTTGCTGTCACACTCTGCTGCTGGGAAAGGGAAAGCCCGGGGAGGGGAGGTGCCAGTTAGTTGTTAGGGGCAGCGTGGGAGGGGGATTCACTTTCCAGCCTGCAGTGCGAAGGTGCAGGGGCCTGAGGAGGCTGGGCCAAGGGGGCAGGTGGTGTGGGCAGAGCACCAGGCTGGGTGGCTGCGGGAGGGGTGCCTCAGCCTGGGGAGGGTGGTGGCAAGGAGGGTCCCAG